AGTAGCAGCCCGGAGAGAAGAAACATTTGTTTTCTGGACGAAGTAACAGTTTTCTTAAGCTGCTGGTTATCTTAGTTTCAGCTTCATATCAAAGGGGGTCATCACATATTTGCTCCACTCCTATGCCAACAACAACAACAAAAACACAGAATGTGTACCACTGACCCAGTGTGTAAAAATTTAAACAGTCTCACTTAGTTTACTACAGACTGGAGAGAGAGAGAGAGTGTTTTAATTTTCTTGAGGATTATAAATTATCAATGCAATATTTAGTAGAGTGTAAATTGTACAGTAATATAATATGATTAATAAATTACAAAGTCAGCAGCGGAGCACAAGACAATTTAGTAAACTAAATACCATAATATACATGAACATGTCTGTGTCAGAGTTTGTGACATTCCTTTGCTGGTCTTTACTGATATATATTCATATTAATTTTTGGCTCTCCTTTCAACTTTAGACGGTAGCTGGACGGCTTAAGTCGGCTTAGTGGGAGTTCTCTCCCTTGGCCGCATTGCAAACAAGGAGCGGAAAAGTCATGAATCAAAGAAGACAGTGAGGTCGACATCAGGGCTGCCAATGCTTGGTTGTGTCCCCCAGATCTGGGTTTTTTTTTGACGCTGCGGGGAAATCTGGGTTTTTTTGTGTGTGGGTTGTTGCCGATTTGTATGCTTTAATGACCGATAAATTTGCGTGGTTAGGGGTAGGGTTAGGATTACGAATAGGGGTAGGGTTAAGGGGAGGGTTAGATTTAGCGTTAGATGTGACAATTTTGACACCGGAGTTCCCTATAATCGCGCACAGTCACATACACACCCAAACAGTCAACGGACTGTGGATGCTACTGACACAGACAAGTGGCCACTGATTAGGCACCAGCCGCACGCTATTGCCGTCCTATTTGCCAGAATTCCAGTGGTGCCACTCCCAGAAGCATCAGATTGTCGGCCAGTATTTGGAACTTCTACGTCAAACTTTTCACATCTAACCCTACCCCTAACCGTAACCCTAACCCTGACCCTATCCCTAACCCTAACCCAAACCCTACGCAACCTTACACGCAACCGTATGATGATAGACACCCTACGCAACCCTACACGCAACCGTATGATGATAGGTAACCCTAGACGCAACCGTATGATGACTATGCAACCCTTCACGCAACCGTATGATGACTACGCAACCCTACACGCAACCGTACGCAACCCTACACGCAACCGTATAATGATAGGTAAGTATGTCGTTTGATTCGTGACTTTTCCGCTCCTTGTTTGCAATGCGGCCAATGGAGAGAACTCCCACTAAGCCGACCTAAGCCGTCCAGCTACTGTCCGAAGTTGAAAGGAGAGCCTAATTTTTTAATCTATATGCGTAGGTATATACTACTCATATTATTCCATTTATATACCAATAGCAGTATTTATACTAATAATGCTCTTCTGTTAACTCTTGCTTTCCAACAAAAATAATTAAACTTCTATTTATTCTAAGGGGTTACGCTTAAACTATGTAAATAGATAGGTCTGAGGGGTTCAACGAAAATACAAATTGACAGAAGTAGTTAGACTAATCATCAGATACAAGGAGTTGATTATAACTGTGTGTGGCATTAAGACAGATGAATTATTATAGTATCCTTTGAATGGTAAGGGAATGTAGGGTATGTTTGGTAGTGAAAGAGTTAAACCTATTCTGAGTTATAATTGGAATATAAAGGTAACAGCTAAATCAAACAGTGGATGTGTTTGTGTTTCCTAACTATGTTTCAGCTGTTTTATATTGTAGATATAATTAGTATGAAATCTTTTAAACAGCTGTTATAATATTTATGTGCTACCCATCTTCTTCTTATAAGTATATTTACAAATTTTTATAAACATACCATGTAAACATACCATAATGGATATTATCTAAACAGTTACGATATACTAACCATCCTTATTGTTATTGATATTTCAGACATATAAATTGTAAATTTATTTCAAATTAGAGTTGAGTTGAGTTGAGTAAAGAATTGACATCACAGCACTCGGGGCATTCCCATGCATGCTCCATCCTCATCTTTAGCAGCCAGCACAGAGTTCCAATACTTATGGTACCGGTCACAATCTGGTTATGTGTCCGTCTTGCCTTTCCTCTGAGTGTAGTGAGCCGGCCAGACCCTCTGGTTACACCCAGGTGCCTCATTCTCTCCAGGCCATAATAATCTTGTTTCTCTACTGATTCCGTTGCTTGTTCCCAAAGGCCTTAACCACTTCTGCCTTGTCATGTATCAATTTACCACCCAGTGGTGCAAATCCAGTCAATCTGTCTGCCTATTCATTACCCACTATGCTGGCATAGCATGGAGAAAAGATCCAAAGTATGCTCACCACCCGTGACCATCCCAGTGAAGCTTGCCACTCTGGTCGAAGCATCCCTGTCTGCACCTTTCTCAGCATGCCTTTAGAGTCTGTTACAATTACAACATGTTTGTGCATCTTGTTCTCTAGCCACCGGAGAGCTGCAGTTACCGTCTCTACCTCCATTCTCATGCTAGATGTTGTGATGTCGTATGCTAGGCTGTCTTGCAGTAAAGAAAACAAAAATAGCACAGTAAAATGCACGAATCTCTCTCCCTCTCTCTCTATCTCTCTCTCTCTCTCTCACACACACACACAAACATTCACACACAAAATTAAACATTGAAAATATATTAAGCACTAGGTATCACAGTAGAGTACCTTCTTCTTTTTCTGCCTCTTCTTCTTTAGCATTCTGAGCCCTTGAGGCTCTTTGTTGCAGATATCACCCACCTCCATTTGTCTCACTGGTTGGCCTTTTCTTTCCATTTAGTGACACGAAGAAACTCAAGGGTCATTTCTTTAACTGCTCCGGTTCTTTAAAGGGTTTTTGCATTCCAAATCTTAAAAGTCCTTTAGCATTCCAGGATCGTTGTCTGTAAATGTATCCACAATCAAGGCTTAGATGTCTGTTTTGTGATGAAATGAAGTTTTACGAAGGTGGGGGATGTCAGCCCTACACTTTAACCCCCAACCTGGAGGACCAGGGTTCTCTCTTTGTCTGTTCTGTACTCTTTGACCTGTCCAACTTGGGAGACCCTACAGGCAGCTCCACTACCACCATCATAGCTTTCAGGGTCATTACAATTAGCAAGCTCCCACGCCTTGGCAAGGTATAATAGAGTATACATTGATTAATAAAATGGGCATTGAATATCCCACTTGTTGGTTTCAGCTGTACTAATATACTTTTCTAGACTGGTAATAGCCTGTCCAGCTGTTACACTTACCCTCTCTATCCCAAGTATTTTTCAACTCATCCTGTCCATAGTGCTATCATTTTAACGATTTAGACCCAAACATTTTTTATAAAATTAACAGCTTCTTATAAGAGAATGAGGTAAAGTAACAACTGCTTGGTACTGAGATTTTAATTGTAAGTTCTTCTGTATTGACCCTTTAGACAGAGTTTGGCACAATGTACTGGGGTTTACAACAGGGTTGTATCCGCTTCTGATGACCCATCACAGCAAACCCCTAATTAGTTGCTTCTTACTGCAGGCTTGTTGGGGGTTGGTGTTTGTTGTTTTATCTGGGGAGGAATACTAGGTAATTTAGCAGGAAGATGAGAGGTCATACGCGCTACACATTTTAAGTAAACCAGGTGATGTGTCTGTCCGGTCAGGATGAAATTGGTTCTTAAGTTAGACCTAGAGTTTGGCATGACAAAACAAAGTTAATTCCTAAAAACAGGGAAAATTTATCTGAGAAGGAGTTTGTGTGTGGTATCAGGGATAATAAGGTCGTGTCAAATAATCCAGAGTTAATTATTTGGTGTAATGAGAATTTTAGTTGTTAGAGTATAAACTATGAGAATGATTTGTGTTATCCTGAATTTGTGTTGTTGGTGAAAAAGCATTACCCTTTTAGAACAGGTGAATCCAGTTATAAGACTTGGATGTGTGAGTGGGGCTACTTACCGGTAACCTGTTTTGCATTGTCACAGACTTGTTGCAGTGCACCATGTGTTAAATAAATGGTATACTTTATATTTGCTGGCCTAAACCACATCCCACTTTAGGATAGTTCCTCGTGTGCCTATAGTGTTTATGTTTATTTGAATCTTTTTCTTTGTGACTACAAATTTAACATCACATTGCAGAGTGGGCATACCCAGAGATGTGCATCTCCTGCAATAGTCTGGGATGGGGGGGGGGGGGGGGGGGGGGGGGAGGGGTGGCAGATCATGCCTTTGCTTGGTATTGAACCTAGACAACTGTCAGAGCAGACAGGTGCATCAACTACTAAGTCACTGTAGCTTTTTATGCCTTCCATTTACTGTTCTTAATGATCAACTATGATGATTATTATGGCCAAAGTATTGAAGTTTATGAGCCAGTTTTCTTCAGTGCTGGGATCTTTTGTGTCAGTATTTTTCTTGTTCTTGGTGTACATAATTGTTATGGGTAATAGGTAAATTTACATCTTCCCTGTGCGGATTCTGGGGCACCAAATTTTATGTGTGTTCTTGTGTGAAAAAACTTGGGGGGGGGGGGGGGGGGGGGATAGACACACAGCCGTCTTAAAAGTGTGTTGTGAAAGGCAGCTAATTGAGGTTAATTTTTGCTGATATCAAATGTGTTGAGCTGGAAGGTGCAAATATCACAGCCAAGCTGTAAACCACACAGTACAGCATGCCAACTGCCTTTTTATGGTGATCAGCCTTTTGAGGGTCAGCACAGTGAGGACAGGCAAGATGGACATATAACCAGATTGTGACTGGTACCATCAGTATTGGAACTCTGCGCTGGCTGCTGAAGATAAGGGCGGAGCATACATGGGAATGCCTCGAGTGCTGTAATGTCAATTCTAAAATATTTATTTTTGTTCTTTTTCAGATCACCATGAGCACCAGAACAGAGGAAACAGGATGCAGTTAAACTTCATTTCTGTAGAAAATTATCAACATAACAGAACTAATCTCCTAACTGAATGATGGGGTGGCTTCCTCGCAGCTTCCGAAGAAACCGCACATCTATCCTGTATCTGGCAATTGTACTTGCCCTTATTATATTTACAGCACATTATTTTGATGTGTTTTCTTCTGATATAGCACACTATTCAAAAAGATACATAGTGTACATGAAGTACAAGCAGTCAGAGCCATATAGAACTGGACCTGGTGAGCAGGGAGTAGCTGTTTTTCTGCAAGGGGAGGAGGCAAAAACTGCAGAAAGTTTAATTGAAAAAGAAGCATTTAACAGAATTGCTAGTGATAAAATATCACTAGAGAGATCTTTACCAGATGTCAGGGATAAAAAGTGAGTATACTGCATCACTGAAATGGCTTATTTTGAATATTTGATGAATTATTCTTCTGCCTTGTGTCGGTTCCGGGACCCAATTCTGCTGGAAGAGATAGACCCACTGCTTCTCAACAAGCATGTTTTATGAGGCAGTGGATTAGGGATTTGATGACATCGGATGTGTTGAGCTGAAAGGTGCAGATATCATGGCCTAACAAAACCACAATACAACTTGCAAATGGAACTTGTAAATGCAAAGACAGAAGAAGAAGAATTATTCTTTTTCTGTCCCAGTTGGAGTATCAGCGCACTTAACTCGCAGCAAACCACCCTAGCTTGTTCCATCGCCTGCAGCTCCCTTATTGTTTTTTCCCCGTATATTTCATTTCTGTACCTGAGTCTCATCTCCAAGTGTTTTTTGGTCTAATTTTTAAATTACCTAATGAGTGTTCTGTTGAGTTAACTGCAAAGATCTGTGTAACAATAGATAGCGGACGTCATTGCCTGAAGATTGTTCACAACTTATAGTCATGGAGTGTTGGGGTGTCAGAACATGCTGTTGACCATCACTGGTTGTGGAATGGCATGGCACTCAGGGCAGTTGGCAAGGCACTTGATGATGATGATGCTGCTGCAAGGATGTGTTAGTTATACTATTATGAGTTTTGTCTGTGTGTGTCCTATCCAGCATCAGCATCTTTTCTCACCTCTTGACTCACTGGATTTTGTTTACTTCTCTACCTAAGCTCTGCATCATTGGTTCTGTCATACCATTTAGTTTCTTCTGTTCTTTGCAAGCGCCAGCTTAGTTGTGTTTATAGTTTACTAGCCACACATGTTGTCATAATATCAGATTCACAAAGCATGTTCAGGTAAGTGGAGTCAGATTATCTTCATGTGGAATTGGTCACATCAGTCCAAAGGTTGCAGGTGATGAGAGTCACATGGAAATTTTTGCTGGGCCATGTAGACATATGGTTATCCCTGCCCATTCCCAGTAAAAATTAGTTCTAATTCCTGTGGCCTCTCATCAAGTGTGTGTCATTGATCTTGCATCTGATTGTGTGTCTACGGCAGAAGGGCAGTGCTGAAGCTGCTGTGTCAGAATTGTTGGTGCTGTTCTGTCTTTGGAGACAATAGTGTTCCATTGTGACATAGAGTATCACAACCCATGGGGATACCAATACAGGCCAGCATTGAGCATGTGCAGGCTGACTTATAACCAACTATCTTTTATATATTTCTCTTTCTTTTGTACTACTAATAAAACAGTCAAATACATTGAAGTATGGATTCTTGCAATTGATAAGTTTATTTAACTCTTTGAGTCAAAGGGTTTAGCATCACAGGCCCAGGAGGTAGTAAAGAGAGTCATAAAATCGGCACATCATGCATTCATTGGGCTTCTAGGTAGGAACCTATGAACGTATGATGCGTTCCTTGGGACTCAAAGAGTTAACTAAGACACGAAAGGACTAACAATTTATTGTATAGCTTTTTTTTTTTTTGCTTTTACTGCCAGTAAACTACGGTGGAAAGTTCTAGTTGTTCGTCTGCTTCTGGACTTTGTTCTTATTCTTTGCATTTTTCTAGTATTATTCTGACTTACATTTTAGATAAATTAATTGTAAACAACAATTAGAACCATTGCTTTATTTGCAACATTTTTGCGTTAATGTATATATTGTGTCCGGTACGATCATAATGTTCAGCATCTTCACCATTTACATGCATTATCCTGTTTCAGATGCAACAGTGTCACATACCCTAACGATCTTCCAAAGGCTAGTGTTGTAATAATCTTCCACAACGAAGCCTGGTCACCTTTACTTCGTACTGTCCACAGTGTAGTTAATAGGTCTCCGCCTCGTTATCTGCACGAAGTTGTTCTTCTGGATGATTTCTCTGAGAAAGGTGAGTCTCATGAGTAGACACTAGTTGTTAGTTGGCACATTTCTGACTTTGCAGGTGATAATCTTCAATGTTTTAAATTAAGAATCGACATCACAGCACTCTGGACATTCCCATAAGCGCTCTGTCCCCTTCTTCAGCAGCAAGCACCCACTTCCAATTCTGATGGTACCAGCGCCAGTCTGACTGTATATATGCGTAACCCTTTCCCTCAGTGTTGAGAGTCGGCCAGATTCCTCTGGTCACTCCGCGCAACACAATTCTTCTCCAGCTGTGATGATCCATCTGTGCCTCCTCACAATACTAGGGTGGTTGTTTTCTTCGTTCATTGAAATAATTTCTTTCGCTATAGATGATAGTTCTATATTGTACTGGTCTTCCGGTCCAACATGGTGGATAGGCAGGCTGATAATTAAGGTTAATATATATTATTTTCTTCTGGCAGTGGTGTGCTGTCACATCACCTCCCCCAGATGTGTACTCATAGTACAGTTTCGTAACCTATATGCAACTGCTGATTTGTTGTACCACTAGCTTCCATCATCTAGGAACTGCAATTCTAGTGATGGATTGTTTGAGCTGACACTTCTGGTGCTCCTTATGTATTTAATGCATGTGTTTGCTGTTGGATTTGCTGGCACTGTAGTTCATTTTGGTTTTTTTCCCCCCCACAAGAGCCAGTGATAGGCATTTATTTAGTTTAGTTTTACTGGCACAGAAACAGCAATTATAGGGTGACCCATTCGCCAATAGGTTGGAACTGTGACTAACATCTGACTTAATCTAACATACTGTACTATAGAGTGGCATGAGAATCACAACCCATGGCAAAGACCAGTAGGACTAACAAGACCAGCTGGCTTGAAGACAAGTCTTTCACAATAAGAGCATGAGATTTCAGGACCATTGTTTGCCACCACATGTATTTGACACGCTTCTGTTCAGACGCTCTAAACCTATCTGCAAACATTTTCTTCTTTATCCCTATTTCCTTTCTGATTTCCCCCTCTCCATGCAACACAGTCCATAACATCATGACTAGGTGCAAGATATATATATATATATATATATATATATCATCAGTCAAAGTATGCAGTTTTTTTTGTTGAAACGGGGTCAGCCAACCAAGTAATCTCCTTTAAAAAAAAAAAATATATCATTCACTGTTGCCTGTTCACATGTCTGTATTTTCTTTAAGACATAAATATTTTATAATATATCTGTCCATAAATCGTGAATTTCTCAGAACTTACAGAGGAATAGATATTCGTAATATTCCTTATTTGCATATTCAGATTTTTTTCAGAAAATAAAGAGGCACAGGTATTTCTAATATTGCTTGTTCGCATATTAATATATTCCTAATGAGAAGTTAGATTGGTACACAATAGAAATAGACATATATTTGTAATATTGTTTGATCTTCTTCTCTAGTCCTGTCCTGCCTTTTAGGTATTGAAGAGACATCGGGTGCGAGCCTTGGTATGTGCTGTGTGGCTGCTGGTATTTACAGCCTCGGATGTTCCATTTATTGTTTCTTCCAGCAAGTTTTAATCCAGCTCCGGCTTGCTAGGCATGTCACAGTTTAAGGGAATATTTAACCAGATGGATCTCAACCCACGTGGTGCGAGCCAGAGCCGCTTTAGGGCTGAGACTCGCAGCCTCACTTTGATTCTTCTTCTTAAAGTCCATGCTGTGTGTCTTTCCTAGTAATGTTTGTCCACAACCTTCTGAGGCGTGTACTTTCATCAACTCTGATACAGATGATCCTCCATGCTATGATGTCAGACTGTCCAGCATCTTTTCTCTTGTTCTTCATCTGCCTCTGTGCCTCTTCCAGCTTTTCTGCTGTCACGATGTACTCCAGGTTTCTCCTTTTTATCACATGATCAGAGAATGTAGATTGTCTTTTTCTGATGTTGGATGTCAGTACTCTTCTAAGTTTCTTTCAAGACATCTTTATTATTCTTTTTATCTGTCCAGGGTATTCTCATCATTCATCTATAAAACCACATCTCTCCAGCTTCCAAATAATGTTTCACTAATCTATCAACTGTCCATGATTCACTTCTATTTGATTATGTACCCATATTTCCTCAAGCAGTCTTGAGAGAGGTAGATATTTATTATATTGCATGTTCACATGTGCAGATTTCCTCAAAGAGCCATTAAAGAAGTACATATTGGAGACTTGGCCAGAAGGCTTAGTGCGACTAGTTCGAACACCGGAGAGATCTGGTCTCATAAGAGCAAGAATAGCAGGGGCAAAGGCAGCAACCGGAGATGTTCTCATTTTCTTAGACTCCCATTGTGAAGTCAATATAGGATGGTATGTGTGATACTAATGTTTTGTAAATATGTTGTTTATTGTAATAATAAATTCCTCATGTGTGTTCTGCAGCCCCGTTGTGGGGGAAACAACAATAGACCCACTGCTGCCTTCCTAAAAAGCATGTCGAAAGAATCAAACTGATTAAGGATTTCCTTTGAAGTCAAAGTGCATCTGCGTTAGAGACAAGGAACCAAAAGCCTGCATACAAATAAGCCAGATCTGTAAAGTGGATTTGCAGGCAACACTTAAGTTCTGGAAAGAGACAAAAGTCCAGAAGTGGACGAACAACCAGAACTTTCTGTTAAAGTTGATATCTGGTAAAGGCGAAGAAGAAATAATAAAAAGTGGGGTTTGTAAAATTTATTGCTGTTGATTTATTTGAGTATATTGTGAAGAAAGGAGAAAACAGATGAGGAGGTATTGACAACAAGTATCACTAGATTACTCATTAAAACCATTAAAAAATTTTCTTTTTAAATTTAGTGGTCATATATATCCCTATATGTATTGTACAAATTTGGAAATGTTGTCTTTGCTTGGCATATTGATGAAGGTATGATGTATTTCAAAACTCATACCCTCACACTTTAATAAATGTTTCAAAAGCTCCTGTATGGATTAACACAAATTTGTGCATATGCCCTTAGATTTCCCACATCTTTATGATTTAAAAATTTATAATTAATTGCACAGGTGCAGCTGTTTTCTTAAAGTGGTGAAAATCTTTGATCTTTGTTTGACTAATAATTCCTGTGCCCTTAAAAAATAGAATATACAGTGATTAACTCACGTGTAGTGATTGTTTTTAAGTCAGGTCAGATGTACAGCGATGTGTGGTGATTATTTTAAAAGCCTATCCCACATACATTGAAAAAATGAAACAATGAAAAATCCACAACTCACGGGAGACCAGTGCTGGAAATAAGCACATGAGAGTAAAACGTCTATGATATTTGTGCATTTTGATGTTTTGAAAGGTGTGCCTCACTCTGTTTACTCAAGTAACTAAGCATTTTGATTGTGTGCATTGATATGTGTCTGTTTTTTCATACACCACAAAAAAGGCAAAATAAAAACTAGATGTTTGTTTACAAAAAAAAAAAGGATTCCTAAAAGAATATGATTATTAAGAGGCTGTGTGCCAGATTTCAACAACTTACACCAAACCTTTACTAAGTTACAGATTTTTAAAGTTGGACAGAGCTTCTGGAATGGACTGTAGTAGGTCCCGCTCATATCTCCTTTATTACCATGCAGCATGATCTATGGCCTCCTGTTCCCACAAATCAACCTCAATGCCTGTATCATTCATGTACTTCTTGTAACAGCTTCATATTGTAGTAGAGGCTAACCTCAAGGTCTTTTTCTCATTCAGAATTCACCTTAGAGGATGTCCTCTAAGGGACTTAGGGACTTTACCCCCCTGCCCCCCTCCTTTGTGCAGGTATGTACCAGCTGTCTGAGCCTGCAAAGACTGAGCATTAAGAAAATTCTTGTTTCAACCTAACTACAACAGTAGGCTATAGTATATGTTGAAGATATTCTGATCTTTTAGAAAATACACTCCTAAAATTGGATATGTCCTGGGAGTTAACGGTGGCCGACATGATTGTGACTACAACTCCCATCACGTCCCAGTTAGTCTATACAAGTATTATTCTTGCTTTATATGCCTGTAATTCCTATTTGTCGTCCCTTTATGGGATGCAATTTTTCTTTATTTGAAGCCCCACCCTGGCTTTTGCTGGGGGCCCTGAATATAGCTGGGCCACAAGTGTGGCCATAATGACTGAAAGTGGTTTCTGGAACCTCTCCACGGGTGATCCTCATCCGCATGGTGGCACTTTGTGTCACCGGGTGTTTATCGCTTGTGTGATGTCCTGTTGGGGTACAACAAGCAAGCTTCATATGTCCTGTGTGTCACTGGCATAAAAATAGTTTTTTTTTTTGCTTCTTTTACTTTGCTTGTTTTACTTGGCTTTATTTCATGAACTCACTTTTCATTCTCATACTATCTTTCAGGATAGAGCCGTTACTGAGTAGAATCAAAGAGGACAGAACTGTCGTTGCATGTCCAGAGATAGATATGATTGACAAAAACACTCTTCAGTATGGGGCCACAGGGAGTTACAGTGTTGGAGGTTTCTGGTGGAGTCTGCACTTCTCCTGGAGACCCATGCCTGAACGAGAGACTAAAAGAAGGCAGTCTGAAATTGATCCTATAAGGTAGGTGTCATAATGTCCTTGAAAGTGAGATTTTTAACTCTTTCAGTTCCAGACAGTTGTTACTTAAACATATTTCTATCTGAGAGTTTAGATAGTTTATACCAGTGGTTCCCAGTATTTGTGTTGACATATAGATTATCAAGATAATTGTTGACTGTCCTACACAACCAGCATCACATCTGTTATCTGAGAATAGGCCCTAGTGTTGTTGTCAACATCATATTGATTGAAATTTGTGTTGGCTGTATTGTTTAATGTATGTGTCACTTAATTAGGCGGTAGAAATAAATATACATGAATTATACGCCTCACTGTTAATGGTACTTTCGTTTTATAAAGAAAAAATGCAATATATAATTTACCATACACCGTAACTTTTTCAAATTATATATTTATAATTAATTCCTGGCTATTCTCTGATTAACGGGCACAAAAGATGGCGGCCTCAAAAAAATACCCTAACAGAGCCTCAGTCATGTGTCAAATGCGCACTTCCGGCGACCTAATTTGCGGTTTTCCGGTGACTACCGCGACCGCCGAGAGTATCCCCCACGCCGATCACGCGACGTCGATTGGGGCTAAACTAGATGGCTGGGACTCACGAGCAGCAGCTTCCGCATCTCCTGCAGCTTTGCATTGAGGAGAATTTACTCATAAACAGCATCTTGTCTCACAAGCTAAGGTATCTTGGCCGTGTTAAACATCATGGTGGTCTGGAGAGAGCAGTTATCAAAGGATCAGGTTCTGGACAATGAGGCATAGCCAGACCTCTGTGAAGGTGGATACAAGACATAAAACATGCATTGGCTATGACCGGCTCCAGCTGACAGGCCGTGCTGCTGACGTCACCGGGTTGGGCTATCAATGCGTTAACACAGCAGTTCTCAAACTGGGTGCCGAGGCACCACGGGGTGATGTGAGCCTTTGCCAGGGGTGCCGCGGCAATAATCAAGAAATTGTGAAATTATCAATGAAGGCATGTAGATACTTAAAAGTAAAAATTTAAGTTGTCTTCCCTCGCCACTGTCAAAAATAGTTTATTTCTTGTTTGAGAATCGCTGCGGTAACGCATCGTTAGCCCAACCCGGTGACGTTAGCACCATGGCCCGTCAGTTGGAGCTGGTATAGCATTGGCCATGAAAGCACAAAGGGCTAGAGAACTGGCAAGAGAAAGAAATACTTTTATGCTCGCCATGACGAGAACAACGTTCTGTAAAAGTTCTGCTGATTTATGGCTAACTAGTTTTCTCACAGTTTCCCTGTCAGTCAGCAACATTTTTCTATTCTCTTATGTTCTATGAATTTTTCTAGTTCTTTTCATAGACTTCATATTGTCTGCAATCTGGTGTCATTATATCTCATCATGTGCATACTACAGTAAGAATTGAATAACATGAATCAAATAAATGACTAATTTTAACTAAAATACAAAATCTACCATACTAAAAAAATAACTGCATTTATAACCTGGGTAAACACTGTAGATTCTGCAAACTTTTCCTGGCAATAAATTAGGCAGTCTTTTTTTTCCCCTGTGTGTCTTCTTTGTTCGCACCTACAACAAGAAAACCTTGCTTGGATTTTCGGAAATGTCACCTCCCATGGTAAGATTTTTGTTTAAAAATTATCTGAATGCAATAATTTACCATGTACAACATAAACATGATATACATTTAATGAAGCGTGTAATATTCTACAATGAAAAAGTTCAGATTTTAAATTCATTCTTTCACAGATCACCCACAATGGCTGGAGGATTTTATTGTGACAAACCAGCAACTTTCTTTTAAAGTAGATTTTTATTTTTATTTGTATTTGTTTGTATAGTCACAAGCTGCAGTATAGTGGGTTTAGGTCTTTCCGGACCAAGCAGTGGAAAACACTCTCATTATTGACATTACTGCCTGTATTCACCACTGTTTGGGATAGTGTTGGACCTGTTGGTCTGAGGATTTAGGGCCAGGTGGCTAGTGCTGTTGCCGTAAACTGTGCAGGTTAGCACTTCTAGTTTTGCATGACATATGAACAGGGCATTCTTTAAAGTAAAAATACAGTCACAGTATGAAAGATAAACGTTTGGAAGGGCCGAATGCAGGACGAGCCTGCGTGTCCAGTTTGTGACCTTTTGCAAATAAAGTTTGTTTGTTATAGAGCAGAGAAACAGGTGGCCAATGGAGATTATGTGTTACAGAGGTATTTACACGTGCAGTGTGTTTATTATGTCTTTGAGTATTATAATTAGCAAATCAGTAGTAAAGGAGGTCACCGTGGCGATTTGGTCAAGCCGTTTGCCTCGCGCCCACAAGGTTGTGGGTTCATTTCACAAACATGCTGTTTAGTTCACAGGTGCTATTTTTACTGAGATCCCCGGGGATCATCACTGAAGCTACAGAGTTCACGCTTTGTGTAACGCATTCGGCAGGCGGCTACCAGTTCTGTGGAGAGAAGAACAAGCCATATGGGATAAAACTCTGTGCAGTGAAGTCGATCTTCTCGGCTTTGACTTTTAAACCATTAATAAACAGTGCAGACTCACATAAGTTACCTATATCACCAGGTAATAAAGACACACATGGCATTAATTCTATGAGACTGGCCGAGGTGTGGATGGATGAATATAAGCGGCTGTTTTATGTTCATCGACGTGATCTACTTGTAAGTAATTTCACTTTGTGTTGTTAAACTCTTTCGGTACTAAAAAAAAAGTAACGATTCATTTTCATGCCTTTAGGCACGTCAGGCATATGGGAAGAGCACCCATATTTTTACAGACCGGACGGCATTAAGTGGGTAATGTGGTCTGAACAGTCTCAAGACTATGGTGACATCTCAGAAAGAAAGGCACTGAGAGAGAGGTTAAAATGCAACAGCTTCAAGTGGTATCTGGAGAATGTCTACCCTGAAAAGTTTATTCCTGATGAGAATGTGAAAGCTTGGGGAATGGTAAGTTTTCTCAGTGTTTTATTGATATCTAGATCTTAATACTGAAATGTTATATCTAGATCTTAAATACTGAAATGTTATATCTAGATCTTGAATACTGAAATGTTATATCTAGATCTTAGTACTGAAATGTTATATCTAGATCTTAGTACTGAAATGTTTCATCTAGATCTTAATACTGAAATGTTATATCTAGATCTTAGTACTGAAATTTTATATCTAGATCTTGGTACTGAAATGTTATATCTAGATCTTAGTACTGAAATGTTATATCTAGATCTTAGTACTGAAATGTTATATCTAGATCTTAGTACTGAAATGTTATATCTAGATCTTAGTACTGAAATGTTATATCTAGATCTTAGTACTGAAATGTTATATCTAGATCTTAATACTGAAATGTTATATCTAGATCTTAGTACTGAAATGTTATATCTAGATCTTAGTACTGAAATGTTATATCTAGATCTTAGTACTGAAATGTTATATCTAGATCTTAGTACTGAAATGTTATCTCGAGCCTGCTTTGCTGTGTGGCATTGCATCTTTTAATTTGAAGGAACAAATAAGGAAGAGCTTGGTGTCAAATAGTTGTGGATGTCTGGATCAGACAGAGTAACTAACAGCAATTGCCTGTGAATAATGTAGTGTCTTTAAAATGTTTACAATTGTTATATTTTTATGAGTACATAATTGGGAGTCACTGTGGCATTGACCGCTAGACGCTCGCCATATTGGAAGGTCATGGGTTTGCATTCTGATGGAGCCTGATTTTTTTTTTTTCAAATGACCTCAACTCTCAGGTCAACCTAGCTTTGAGTGGGTACCAGATGCAGTCCTGGGAAGTAAAAGTGGCTGGCGTGATGCTGACCACAACACCCACCAAGTGCCGTTTGGTCTATAAAAATATAGGTCTAGCCCTAAATTCCCAATACACCTAATAGTGTGGAAAGGGGACCTTTACTATGAATTCGAAATTAAAAACAGTCAACTACAGAGGTTCTGGGAAGATTGCAGAATACAAATAGTCGCTGAAATAAATTTAAAAGGGACAAATGAAATATTTTGGCCACATTAAAACACACAGTGCTCTTTAAAAACAAAACTATACTGGAGGGAAGAGTCTGAGGCAAGAGAGTAAGCAGTAGACAGCACTACAAGTGGGCGGACAACCTTGAAAAGTGAAGCAGCAGCAGTCTGAGAGAATAAATTTAGCTTGAAACACAGAACCTCTTGGAGGTGCATCGTAGCTACCCATTACAGAAATGGGACCTGATAGTTTGATCGATTTATCGATTCTTCTTCTTCTTTGTCATCTCACCGATACCAGGTTGTAGTCCAGTGATGTAGTTTTTTTTTTTTTTTTTGTCTTGCGCTTCTTGGGTGGCCTGGGTGATAAATTTGTTCATCTTTTTTACAGATTTTAGCAACACCATTTATCCATCGCTTTCTTGGTCTTCCCTTCCCAGATGTTTTTCTGTAAAAATATCACATGCAGTTTGGTCTGGCTGCTTTCTCTCTAGAGGACCTAACCATTTCATTATTTATCTGTTAGTATAATTCAGACATGGACTTATCAAAACTTTCTCTCTAATGCTGGTAGCTTGTCCGATGTCTGCAAGAGTCTACCCATTAAATAATTATTTCTTGTGTAGCAGCAGTTGATTACACCACTGCTGGCTTGTAGGCCTGTTGCGTGGTGGCGCATGAAAAAAATTGACATGGTCGGCACTCGTCTTCTGCCAGGTAAACCATTGCCCCATTAGTGTTGTGTTGGCAGTTCAATCCTCTAGGTGTTAAAGTGACCGAACCAGTTGATTCATTAATAAGTAAAAAAAAGTAATTAAAGGACTCTTGTCATGCCTTTGGCATATAGCGCTAGACATTTTTATGTAGACCAGCGAGCACTTGATGGGTGTTATGTCACCATCGTGCCTTTACTTTCCAGGATTTTGTGATACCCCTTTTATACCTGGTCAACCTGGGAGCCAAGGTCAATTTTGATGCGGTCTTTGAGGCCGAGAAAGGAGACAGTATAACCAGCTTCTCATGGGAACAATTAGTAGAAGTATTTTGGAGTGGCTGCTGCATCAGAGGACTGAACACGCATGGGGATGCCCAATGTGCATTGACGTCAATTGTGATAACATAACATTAAGAAAAAAAAATCAAAATCTTCCTCAGTATGGATTTGAACCCCATAACTTTGAGTGTCTAGCCACTACGCCACTACGTATTAATACATGTTTGAAATTATAAGGTATTGTAATATTTATAATTTATCATTAAATGTCATTGTCAGATTTCAAGACAAATAACATATGTGTTTTTTTATTTCGGCGGATCGAAAATGTTTGTATGCAGGTACGAAACCCAATTTCCAGCCTTTGTTTGGACACATTACAGAAAGATGAGAAAACTGTGTTTGAAATGGGCATGTTTTTTTGTCAGAATGGAGGCAGTGCAAGTCAGGTACTGTGCTCTTATGAAACCGTAACTACTATTCTCTCCTGTTATGAAACCATAACTATTTTTATCTCCTGTTATGAAACCATAACTACTTTTCTCTCCTGTTATGAAACCGTAACTACTTTTCTCTCCTGTTATGAAACCATAATTACTTTTCTCTCCTGTTATGAAACAATAACTACTTTTTTCTCCTGTTATAAAACCGTAACTACTTTTCTCTCCTGTTATGAAACCATAACTAGTGTTCTCTCCTGTTATGAAACCATAGCTACTTTTCTCTCCTGACAGTGAAAAGAGATCTGGTAATCTAACTTGCCATTAATGCATTCTGCATGTTTAAACTGTTCTTCTGTTGCCACCAAGTTATGTTGGTTAATTTTCTTTTGTTTTCAGGTTCTGTCATTAACTTACAACAATCATCTTCGAAGAGAGGAAGCCTGTTTAGATGCTTCTGAGGGAAATAAAGTGAAAGTGGTACCATGCAGTGATAGAGCTAGCATGAAATGGGTGCACAATAAGGTAATTCTCCTCCTCTTATACATGAAAAGAAGCATAGACCCTTAACCATCTCATTCTTTTTCTTTTTCTTTATCGTTAATTTGAGTGATGTAAATACATTGTGCCTGTTTACAGCAGAACTGCAGTATTTGCGCCTTTCAGCCTGACGCATCTGAATTCTTCAGGCATTTGTTATCCGGATCAGCCTGCCTAGTTAGTATTTTTGGGCATTCCATTATTCTCAGGCGTTGTCCCTAAAGGTTCCGCCCAAGGCAGCTGCATGCAGATCGGCTGACCCTCAAGGGAAGGCAGAGCATGCGCATTTCCACTATCTAAGGAAGGAGGCTTCCATAAATGCAGAGCAGATACATGGTGCTATGATACTAGGCTTTCTCAAAGAATCTTCTCTTCCAGCACATTTGCTTAACCTCACATCCATATATTGAGCCTTTCACTAACTACCCCATTCAAAGCCCTCCTATAATTTGATTTTTCTTGTACTTTTTTTCTGTCATTTCCCCACACTGTGTTTGCCATGTGTGTGTTAACTCAGCCTAAAAGTGGTATTGGGAAATATTTCTAGGAAGTAAAGGCAGCCAGGATATTAGTGAGCACATCAATAATGATGAGTATTGTGTGTGGAAACTATGAGGAAACCTGTTTGCTGTGATGTTCAAACTGTAATTAATTAAAGCTATGGGGAAACGCTTATGCCTTGATGTTGGAATTGTGATTAATTAAAGCTATGGGGAAACCCTTTTCCCTTGATATTGGAATTGTGATTAATTAAAACTATGGGGAAACGCTTATGCCCTGATGTTGGAATTGTGATTAATTAAAGCTATGGGGAAACACTTTTGCCTTGATGTTGGAATTGTGATTAATTAAAGCTATGGGGAAACACTTTTGCCTTGATATTGGAATTGTGATTAATTAAAGCTATGGGGAAACCGGTTTGCCTTGATGTTGGAATTGTGAGTAATTATGGGGAAACCCGTTTGCCTTGATGTTGGAATTGTGATTAACTAAAGCTATGGGAAAACCCGTTTGCCTTGATGTTGGAATTGTGATTAACTAAAGCTATGGGGAAACCTGTTTGCCTTGATGTTAGAATTGTGAGTAACTAAAGATATGGGGAAACCCATTTGCTGTGATGTTGGAACTGTGGTTAACGATTAACTAATTCCAGTAAAATTATCTGGTACCCCTTTTTATGAGGGTTGGTCAATCCAAGAACCAGTCTGGTCGGGAAATATTCTGCCACTCCTGGGGATTTTATATATGATTTTTTGGTTTTTTAATAATATCCTTAATATCCTACCCCAGATGATGTCACAGGACAGTCCAACATTTTAGAGGGTGGTAAGACTGGGTTTCCTTGCTTTCTGATGCTTTTAACAACCCCAAAACATCTAGAACTGGCCCTAACCCCAACCCACCTATGTCCCACGAGAAAGTGCAGCCTGGGTCCCACGACTGCATGCAACCTAGATCCCACGACTGCTTGCAGCCTATCTTCCACCCCCTGAAATATTAGACTGTCCTGTGACCTGTGGATTTCCCGTTTGGGGTAGGAAATTTATAAAGCACAGATTTATTTTATATTATTATATTAACTCATGGTCCATTTTGTGTGTTCCAGAATAATAACACTATTGTTAATGAAGCATCAGGAAAATGTCTAGACACGGGAGGGGGAAAGAGCGGTGGCTTCGTTGTGGTCAACACTTGTTCAGGAGCAGACACTCAGAAGTGGACTATGCAACACTACCTAGACATGTGATTTTTAACTCATTCAATCTCAGCGCTACCTGGATATGTGATTTTCAAGTCATTCAATCTCAACACTACCTGGACGTTTGATTTTTAACTCATTCAATCTCAGCGCTACCCAGACCTGTGATTTTCAATTCATTCAGTCTCAACGTTACCTGGACATGTAATTTTAAATTCATTCAATCTCAACCTTACCTGAACATGGGATTTTCAATTCATTCAATCTCAACATTACCTGGACATGTAATTTTTAATTCCTTCAATCTCAACATTACCTGGACATGTAATTTTCAATTCTTTCAATCTCAACGCTACCTGGACATGTAATTTTCAATTCATTCAATCTCAACCTTACCCGAACATGGGATTTTCAATTCATTCAATCTCAACACTACCTGGACATGTAATTTTCAATTCATTCAATCTCAACGCTACCTGGACATGGGATTTTCAATTCATTCAATCGCAGTGCTACCTGGATGTGTTAATTTTTGAATCATTCAATCTCAGTGCTACCTGGACTTGTGAATTTGAACTCATTCTAACTCAACACTACCTAAACGTGATTACAACTCATTCTGTCTCCAAGCTGTTATTTTTAACTCTTAGAATATGAAAGCCGTTATTTGGAATAAGTTTTTAAAATGTTGCGACAAGAGGCCAGAAACTTCTACCAGTCATTTGTGTGTGTTCTGTTTTGGTTAAATCTTAGCATATTTCTGTACAATCACTGTGGGGCGTTGACCACATCGCCCACCCTCTGCCGACTGGTCTGTTAAAAAATATGGATCTTGCCTCACATGCCGACG